TGTTTAGATTTAGATTGAGAGTATCATATCTTGTAAAAATAATTTTTAGTTTCTTGGTATATGAAATTCTCTTCTTCTTCAACATAAATCGTGTTCCTGTATGATCCAATATTCTTCGTATTTCTTATTTTCTCGTTCTTTAATTATTTGGTCCGGACTCTCAACAAATTGGTATCAGAGCGATTTTGATATCTTGTTGTTTCTAGTAGAGATTTAATCTCACTCTGTTGTGACGAGTTTAGTTTAGGTGGTTAGTTTTCTTTACTACTACTACTACTACTACTACTACTACTACTACTACTACTACTACTCAGTCTCAGATTTGCAGATATCTTTTTATGCACTAATTTTTGTTGTGTATATTCCTATAATGGTGTTTCGAACGGATTATCGAGCCTCGCTAACAATTAAAATATGGTTCAGACGATTGTGTAAGGAACAAACCTCTCAAGACAAAGTCTCAGACTTTGTGATCCTCATTACTTCATTGTCAAGGTCCTTGTAAGGGCTTCCTCTTCTAAGCAATTCACCTTGTTGACTTCTCGGCCAATATTCTGCTCCAACTCGAACATTGCCAATTTGTCTCCCAACGTCCTTAATGCTGCTTCTTCTTTCATATTCTCTTGACATTCCTTATTGAAAGACATTAATTTGGCTTTGAAGGCCTGAATGTCGGCCATATGTTCTTGTTGCTGACAACTCATTAGAGTTCCTTGATTATCTTTTTACCAATTACTGATTTTTCTAGGGCCACTATGTTTGGCCTCATTTGATTAAATATTTCAGTAAGTGCATCTACTGAAAATGGCTCTTCACTCTGTGCGACAATTTTAGTCTCTTCTCCATCTTGAATTACCCTGATAGGTCCATAATTTCCTTCGTACATGAACTTTTCTACTGAATTTGCTTCTGCGACAAAGGGCCTATGGTCTGCTTGCACCACTTCTGCTTCGCCCTTGTCATTCCAGAAAATCAGGCATTGGTGGAGCGATGAAGGTATGCAAGGACTCCCATGAATCCAGTCCCTTCCTAATAGTACGTTGTAACTAGTAGGACCATCTATCACGAAGAAGATCGTGGTCCTAGTAGTTGTTCCCACAGTTATGTTCAGTGGCATTACCCCCTTAGCTGAAGTTGCTCCTCCATTAAAACTTGCGAGAATAACTTCTGTTGGGATCATA